TACTCACTTGCTGAAGAACTTGTCAAACCTTGTTTGATAGAGGTGTGTTATGAAGTGTTGAGCCAATCTGCTGCAGATAAAATGAAAACTCTGCCTCTGTCCAATGATACTATTGGACGAAGAATATGTGAGTTATCATACGACATAGAAAGTCGAATACTGCAAGATATTCGTAAATCGAAATGGTTTGTTGTCCAAATGGATGAGTCAGTTGACGTCTCAAATAGGGCCATATTAGTATGTTATGTTCGTTATACTGAGTATGCAATCAATGATATTAGAGAAGAATTGATGTGCTGTATCGAACTACCATCCCAAACAACCAGTGCTGAAATATTAAACAATTACATTGAAAGAACTCCATTGACTGGAAAAAATGCATTGATTTGTGTACTGATAGTGCTGCTGCCATGACTGGAAGACATATAGGTGTTGCAAAGAGAATAACAGATGTAGCATCAGAAAAATTAGTAGTCACTCACTGCATTATTCATCGTGAACATTTAACAGCAAAGAAATTGTTCCCACAACTGAAAGACATTCTTATGGAATCAGTAAAAATTGTAAATTTTATCAGAAGTAACACCCTTAATTCAAGATTGTTTACAACCTTATGTCAAGGAATGGGATCAGATCATGTACAATTATTGTTGCACGCTGAAATACGCCGAATAGCCAGAGGAAAAGTCCTTAACCAGTTGTATGAGTTGAGAAATGAGGTACAATTGTTTTTAAATCAAAAGGACTCATTATTGAGCAGACATTTTCAGAACAAAGAATGGGTAACCTTGCTTTCGTACCTATCAGCCATATTTTCTGTGATAAACCAATAAAATTAAAGTCTTCAAAGTAAAAATAATACCGTTTTAAACTTCTACAGTAAGATAGATGCTTTCAAGAAGAAATTACAAATGGTACAAATGTGCGGAAGAAAACACCTTTGATTACATTAATACTAATGACGTGGATCAGAAGAGTGTTACCAGCGTCATTTTGGAGCATTTAAATGAACTTTATATGGCTTTTGATCAGTGTTATCCCCACAAGATGTGCATTTAGGTTATCTGTGGATAATCAATCCATTTATTGATAATTACAATAACAATCTTACTACGGTTGAGGAAATAGAACTTATTGAACTATCTTCAGATCTAGGACTTAAATCACAGTTCAGTTCAGTAAATATATATCAGTTCTGGATAAAGACTGCAACAGAATACCCCCATCGTCATGCAAAGGCGTTGAAGATTTTATTGCCTTTTTCCTCAACTTATTTGTGTGAAACTACATTTTCGGCTATGATTATTATTAAGACGAAACATCGAAATCGACTTGCTCTTACTTTAACTGGTTTAACGCCTAGAAATGACACTTTAGTCAGCAACAGAGACCAGCAGCAATCTCATTGATTTTAGTTTTTATTTCCTTTAATTTGGTAAATTATTTTTTGCTTATCTACCTACGATGTTTACCTTTCGATTCATTGTAGTTTTTGTTAATATATTAATTTTAAAATTATAATGGAATATTCATATTGGAATTTTCTTGGAGTTAAAGTTTTGGTAGTTTTGTTCTCGATGCAATATTTTGTTGATAATAAGGTGAATATTCATATGCAAATTATAACAAATAAAATGCTTTAAAAATTATTTATGTCTTCATGATTTATTTATGTGAAAAAATAGTGCGGATGGGTCGAATTATTAAACTTACCACTTCGCGAAAACGTACCGAAATATTTTATGTTCTTGGAGTAAATCCAGTTGAGAAACATTGCTGTAGATGATACTAATGCAGAAAAGCAAACGCCAGAAATTATATGTTTTTATACTAAGACTAAAATAGCAGTGGATACTGTAGATGAAATGGCAGCAAGTCTTTCAATTGCCAGAATAACAAGAAGGTGGTGAATGGTAATTTTCTATTCTGCACTCAATGTTGCTGCAATAGATGCTCGAAATATATTGCTTTCAACTGCTAATCCACCAACCCGATAAGAAGCAGATATCTATTTTTGAGGAACTTAGCATTACAATTAATAAAACAAATGTATTAAACAACGATCAGAGATTAATACTTTGCCAAGAAACTTATGTACTGAGTGCAAAAGAAGAGCAGAAGTTTTGAGGAATAATTCAAACGAATATATGAATTTGTAAGCAACTAAGTATAAAAGATGTGATGAATGCCCTCGAGCCAAGGACAGAAGAATGTGAATATGATATTTAAAATGTGAAAACATTTTGTACAGTCAAAAGTCGTTAATTCGGACACCCGTAATCCGGAATGATCTATAATCCGGACCTCAAAGCTAAAATCTTTCTGCGCATGCGCCGCATTGACGCATGCGCATAGGCGTTTTACTCGTGCGCGCAAGACATTTACGACTGGCATATGCATCTGCGCAAGTGCAGAATACGTTTTCGCGTGCGCGTTTAATGTATAACGGACGGTAAAAGCTAAAATTATCTAATTATCTATTTCTGTTAATTGTTGATAGATTGCGTTGTTCCTTAATCTTCAAATTGGATCCGGCTTATTATTTTTTTGCAGACTGTAAGAGCAATTTTCTAAAAGTAAGCTTGAACTTTCGATTATGTCAAATAGAATTTCCGATGTTGGAGCTCCCAAAGGATCTAGAAAACGAAAGTATGTTTCGATGTCCATCAAACAAAAAACGAATTGCTACAAAAATGGATAAAAGCATATCCTTTGTTTTTATCTAACCGTTCCGAAATCTGTTTATCAATTTCACGCTGCTCTGCTGCGGCCGGGGGGGGGCACGTCGCGGCGCGCAATGAACTGGAAGTTGATCTGTCAACACTATCGTTATCTTCAGGGCAGATGTTTTTATTTTAGTCGGCTTATAATTCCTTACTAAATGTAGTATTTAATTTCGATGTACTCCGTCTTTGATATGATTTAAATCAAATTCCTCGTCATTATAAATATCACGAATACAATCACATAGTTTTCTGGTTGCAATTTTCTAATTTCGGCTATGATAAGGTATGCTTTACGCATGCGCGCGTTAAAAGAAATGTTTAATAAAGTAAACAAATAAATATTAGGCTTTCTTTTTTGGTAAATTTTGGATACCCTTTAGATCATAATTGCTCATTATTTTATAAATTACTGTTTCATATTTTTAATTTTATAATTTCTGCATGCCATCTTACCAGATTTAAACTGATGATCTATAATCCGGAAAAATCGATAATCCGGAATCGCCGAAGTCCCGACGAGTCCGGATTAAAGACTTTTGACTGTACTAAGAACGCATGAATGTATTTTGTTCAAATTGTAAACAAATAAAATAAACACTGTGTATTAGAGATGCAATAAAACTTAGAGGTATCATGTTTATTTTGTGATTATTTTCATTTATCTGAATTTTAACTCTTTATAAGCGTATTTTGGAAATTAATTTTTTGTAACTCAAGTTATTATTCATGTATTATAAAACAAAAACAGCTTTAAAACTAAATAAAACTGTTTTTCTTGTATTTTAAATATTGGGGTATGTGATACCCCATGCGCCCACTCTAGTAACTTTTCTTGACGTGCCTTCCGCCGGGTTAAAAATGGATATTTGCAAATTAATTTTAAAATAGAAACCTAAATTAAATTAGAATTAGTTCAAAAAGAAATGGATATTTAAACAATTGAAAATGAGCAAATAGTTTTAAAAGTTTCGTTAAAGCTAAGATATGTAATTAAAAAGACTAACAATCGAATACAGTCTGTAACTTACAGAACCAGTTCATGGTAAATTTGTGATGACGTCAGAGATCATCATGTGAGCATGCGTAACTGTGACATCACAAAAATCATATGGTCTCCAACATCATTTGTGAATTTTGCAACTTTCTGTGTCTCCTTTTGTTACTTTAGTGGAAAATTTTCTGGCAACTGATTTGGATTTCAGATCCTTTCAATAAAGTTTTTATTAAAGCAGCTTTAAAATTATCATTCATTGAAAAACGCAGCTTATTAAGCATTTAATTGATTCTTCCTTGAAAGCCATGTTTTAAAAAGGAGCATATTATTTTTGTTTTGGGTTTCAACATAGAACATGAAGAAAATATGATAAGACATCCCCTCTCTGAACTTGCAGAAAGAGCATTCTCATCTTATACAAATATTGAAAATAATTACTGTAATAAATTGAATGTGACTCCTGATTTAAGACTTTACCTTTCCTAATTCAGCCCCAACTTCAAAAATTATAATTATTGAGTTTAATGGTGTAAGTCCAAGGATCACAATAATAAGACAATGAATAGTAGTTCAAGACTATCCCTCCCCGTCTAAGGTTGCTGATTAAATTTTTTATTAATTTTTATGTATGCTATGTAATATTGTATTGTTCATGTCATATTAAAGTGCAAAGTTCTGTTAGATTTTTTCATACAGATTCTTAATTTTTGTCTTAAGTTTAATGTGAACAAAGTTATATACATATTACACTTTAAATAAACTTATTGTATGCTTAGTATTTTCTTGGACACAATCCTATTTCAAGAATGCATTAAGGTTTTTCGTAGACCTCACTAGTAGTAATAAATTCATCAATTCAACTCATTTTCTCATTTCCTTTTAACAAAAGTTGATACCAAAAATAATTATACTAAGTAAGTAATGTAATAATCATTTTCTTCAGTTATATTTTTGTGGTGTGATTCATTAATTTTATGATATTGAAGTAATGCATTTGTGAAAAATTTGAAACTTTGAAATTGAGGTTAGGGTATTTTATGATTATGAAACCTTATAAGGGATATGCTTCTTCAGGAAAAGTTGGAAACTACCTGTCTAGAAAATGAAACGTACATGTTTAATATCATTTTATCTGTCTAAGTTATATGTATTTAATATGATTTTACAACATTTATTATCAAAGAATGACTGGTATTTCATTTTAGTTAAGTATGTTTTCATAGGAATTATAAAATATATTAATCTTAAAATCTTGCTAATCTGCATTTTTTTCTTTCTAGTGATCAAACTGATCCATTTAATCGCAGTCCTCTGACAATGGATATGGTAATTCCAGATGAAGAAATGAAAAACAAAATGGATAAATGGTTCAAAGAACGAAGATTAGGATCTTAAAGAATGGAGGAACGATAAAAAAATATTTCCAGTGCATTTTAATTAAACATTTCATATATCCTTAAAACTGGTTTTATTGTGGTTTTGTTATTTTGGTAACACTTTACAAAGTGGAAGTCACATAACATCATTGAGCAATAATTCTGTATAATAGAAGGAGGTACTCATAATTTTGCAAATTGCATATTTTTTAAGGAGCACTTGTATTTCTATATTTCTAGATTAAAGCATAGTCTGTATATGAAATATGAAATACAGTTTCATCAAGTCATAACCAGGTTTTCATCACTTTTTGTATCACACAGCTGTGCATGTATAATGTTTATTTTGAAATAAAAATGCGCTTTTTATTTCTATGCATTGTTCGGCTGTGTGTAAGATGAATGTACATGATAAATGTATTGAAATTTAAAGAATAATTCTCAATAAACATAACTAAGGTTAATTTTAATGTAATTAAAAGAGTGTCTGCCTTATTAACACTATATTGTGAATTTGACAGTGTTTCATGTCATGTAGATTATTTGGTGCGGTGGAGGGAACTTAATATTAAATAGTATGTCACCTGCCTAATAGCCAAGACAAATACACAATGATCTAAAATCGTCTCTGTCAGTTATTTTCTACTTTCTTGAGTATTGATTGTTGGCAGGTATTTCTAATAACATTCTGAGAATAAGCTACAGAATTTTATGAAAACTATTTCAGGATTGGAAGTGAAATTTTCTGTAATACAAAGTTTAACTTTTTATGTAGTCTGCCCCATAGAGCAGAATTTTTATTGGTAAAATGTTTATAATGTTTTAATAATTAAAGTGCAAATAGTTATATTTGTTTATGTTTGAAATTGCAGAGGTAGTAGTAATTAATAGTGCTAATTAATAGGAGTAAGATGGGGAATTAATAAAAAGTTCTATTGCATCCAGTACTAAATCAATTGCCAAAATGAGCAGCTCTTTAAATATGATACAAATATAATTAAAATCACTTGATTATAACAGGCAAGGAAAGTAAGTTAAAAGAGGCACTTTGTAGCAGACACTGAAAATGATTTAAATCAATCAGTTTGTTCTGTAATATTTCTTTGAATGTGCTCATAAATTGGTCAGAAATTTTATATATGAAACTTCATGAAGTGGACTTTTTGATCTGATGAAGCAATATAAAAAGTTATATTTTATAAAATTCTTCTTAATTTGAGAAATTTTGCAATTAGAAATATATGACCAGGAATTAATGAAGTAAGGACTATATCTAACTTTTCAAACAGCCTCTATTTATGTACAACTGTTTTTGTGAAACATGCCAAACTAGGATGAAGTATAGCCAACAGAAAGCTTTCAGTGCGTGGTATGTAAGTTCAAACAAACTGTCATTGCAAATATATAAATTGTATTAAAAACATATTCCATATAATTGTCTGTATGGATCAGTAGTGCATTTTCCCAACCACATGTTGCATAGTCCAATACATTAGGTGATGTTTTGGCATATACATTAACAGTGTGTTCCCAAGATCAGTTATTCTCAAATAGTCTGTCAACAAACCTTGTTTTTGAGATGTCCAAAAGTAAAAATATAACGTCAGATAGACATGGAGGATCGAAGCATCATTGGTGGTTCAGTGGTAGACATGGAGGATTTGTCTGTTCAGAGTGTTAGAAATTATATATGGAACTAATGGTAAATATTGATCATGTAAATAGAATTGTGTTGTCATACTGTTGGATATAAAACATAAGAAAGATGCTTATTTCATATATCATACTAGGCAGTCTGATTAATACATTCTTTTCAATTGCTACATGAAATATAGTAGCTGAAAAATTTATGTTACAGCTTTTTAAAACTGTTGTATGAGTATCCATTAAAATTTCCTCCTTAAACCTGCCTGTAATTTTCAAATTGAGTATGTATCATAAAGGAAGAACAGCTTTAGCAGAAATACTAATTTTTAATAGAGAGAAAAAGAAACTGAAAAAATTCATTAAAAATACCATAATGTAGCCCAAAATAGTGCAAAATAAATTGAATAATTGAAAAAGAAGTAAAATAAATAGAATTAATAGGAATCTACGATTTTGATAGTGTACTGTAGTGGGTTATATTGATTCTATTTATCATATCTCTTTTTATATAAAATAATAAAATGCAAAAATAAGTTAAATTTGACTTTCAAAGTTATAATCCAGCACTAACTCAACCAAAATTGTATTTAAATTAATTAATGAAATAATTTAATTAATACAATCCATGGAAATTTTTGGAAATATAAAATGTGAGTTTTAAGAGGAAAATTGACTTTATACAGTTGAATACAGTTGATAGAAAACTGTATGTAAATATTTAAAATTAACAAAAGTTAAAATTGTGGTTCATTTTGTGATTTTAGATTGCCTCATCAGCCTGTTAAACTCCAACCATCATTAAAGAATTTAGAAATTCTAAAATATGCATTTCTGTCCTTGCTGACAATTTGAGAACATGTTTAGCTAGTATAATAATAAATTAATTAATTTTCTGTCTAGTAATCAAGAATAACACCCCTATGCTTCTTCGGGATTTCAAATTAAAATTTAAAATAGGCTAATGAAACTATTTCGGAACAATAGTAACAAATTTTCAAAAACAAACTAAATTTAAATTGGATAAAAAAACTAGAAAATAATTCATAAATTTTTATATTGAATTAAATGCAAATAAAAAAAGCTAAATGACCAAAAACTTTACTTAGTAAAACAAAATGTCTTCCCTCCTGTGCCAATGAAAAATGGCTGTCATAAAAAATCTACCTTGGCTATCCTTGGTGAAAAACTACAGTTTCTGAAGATTGACATTTTTAAATGTAAGTACAAAACAGAAAATGCTCTCAAAACTTTGCCGACAAAATTGTTGTTTTTAGCTTTAGCTGTAGCAAAATGACATTTAAAATATGTCTTCCTTCTTATGCCAGTGAAAAATGGCTGCCGTGAAAAAGTCTACCTGTGGTTATCCTTGGTAAAAAGCTACACTTTGTAAAGAATTTGATGTAAGTACTAAGGAAAAGGGAAAATGTATATGCTTTCTGAGAAATAATATTAAAAAAAATTCATTTTTGAAAGCTATAAAAAAGCTAAGTTGCAGCAATTTGGCAAAAAAGTGATGTTATGCTTTGGTTACAAAAACATTGTAGAAGTGGCTGAATATTGTGAAATGGCCTTAGAAAAATGGTGCAAAATGGTGGAATCTTTTTTTTTTAATAATTTTAAAACATAATTAAAAACAAGTTGGATCAAAAATGAAACAGATGTAAGTTAATAAAAACAAATTCAAACAGTATTAAAAATAGTTGACAATTCTTCATTGTTTGTCAAGGAGAAACTGAAGGAATTTTCAACAGAGCCATATTTCTGAATTATATTGGGATTAAAAACAAAACTAATGCAAGAAATTCAGAGAAATAAATTTGCAATATAGAATTAATTAATTAAATAAGAATAAAGCAATGCAAAATGAAAAAGATTTGAAAATAAAAAATTCAATGATAAAATCTGATATTTGAGTTCATTCAATATAGGATATATAACCTGTAGCGTGACCTGAAATTAGTTACTCAATGCAAAAAGACCAAAATTCCAAGAAAATTTTAACAGAGAAAAAATTAGCCAAACCACCAGCTTATAAAAGCAAAATGTTAAGTTTCACAAGTCATCAAGAAAATTTTCTTAAATTTCTAATTTTCTTAAAAGAAAGCAACAACAGCACTTTTAATTTGATCTGTGTAAAAATAATAATAATAATAATAATAATTGGGAAGAAAATTTCCTAATAACTGAATATTTATTTTGATTTAAAATTTATTTATTTAATAGCTACAAAATATGTCTAAAATTTTCTAGGATTGGCTTGTTTCAAAGAATACAGGAAAACATCAACAAATAGTGCTCTCTACATATGAATATGTATTTATTGGGTTAAAATTATGTTGTGGGCATCCTCATTCAGTATTTCTTCTCTGCAAGCAAAGTATAGGTATATTCTCACAAGAAGTGTCAGAGATTGATCACTGGAACTAAGAGTGTTGTAAAGCTTTGTCACATTTCATAAAAACTGTGATTGAAATCTCCAAAATATTTAAAAAAAAGCATATGAGATACTGTAATATCCCATTCTCACAGTTGAATGTTATTCACAGAATGGAGAAAGCATAGATGATCCATGTATCAATGAACTGTCTCAGATATACGTAGCGTATTCGGAAACTAAGTACCGTTTCATTCTAGCGCCGTCGCAGCGCTGCGGAAGGCCTCAAGGGCATGCGCACTAGTCTTTCTTGTTCACTGACTTTCAATTGTTGCCATTTTGGTTGCTCTATGTTGTGTTTTCGGTTTGCTGTGCACATTGAAAATGTTTAAGATAATTAGTTTTCCCGCTGACTGTGAGATTCGTGCCGTGATTAAATTTTTGAACGCGAGGAATGTTAAACCGGCCGAAATTTATCGTCAAGTGACAGAAGTTTACGGTGAATACGCGATAAGTGATGGAATGGTGAGAAAGTGGGTAAGAATGTTTAATGCAAGTCAAACAAATGTCTACTCCGAGGTTCGGAGTGGTCGGCCTTCTGTTGTCACCGATGATTTCGTAAGGAAAGTTGATGAAGCAATTCATGAGAACAGACGCTTCACAATGACAACTCTTTCAGAGGCATTTCCACAAATTTCACGTACTGTTTTGTTCGAAATTGTGTCTGACCGCTTGAATTATCGCAAACTGTGTTCCCGATGGGTTCCAAAAACGCTCACTGATGTTCACAAAACAAAGCGACTTGGTAGTGCCCTGACATTTCTCACGCGGTACAGTGATGAGGGAGAAAACTTTTTAACTCTTTCGCATCGAAGCCGCCCGTAACGCCCGTTCATTCAGGCAACGGCAAACCGCCCCAACGCCTCGTTTATTTTCTACCTAGTTCTTTCCCCTCCATGTTGGTGTATGGCTCATTGGTTTCGCGAGTTGGTAAAAGACATGTCAATCATTCTTTTGAAGCAAATAAAGGAGAAATACGGAAAGGTATTGACGTTCGCAGGTGCAATCCGGATCTAAGGTGAAACTGCACACAATGGATGAAACCGCAGGGGGAAAGAAAAACTATTCCAAGACAAATTCGTAAACATGGGCGTTTTCGATGTTTGTTGAAAATAGATTTGGTCGTCTCTCGATGCGAAAGAGTTAAACCAAATTGTGACAAGTGATGAAACTTGGGTGTGTCATTTCACACCAGAATCGAAACAACAATGGATGGAGTGAAGACACACTCATTCTCCGAAAAAACAAAAGTTCAAGGTGACAATGTCATCACAAAAAATCATGTGCACTGTCTTCTGGGATAGGAAAGGCGTTTTGCTTACTGAATTTCTTCCCAGAGGTGAAACCATTAATGCGGCACGATATTGTGAGACTTTAACAAAACTAAGGCGTGC